TTGGGGAGATAACTATTTTTAGGCTTTAATAGTTTATTCTTTTGCATCTCGGGTAAGAGCTTGTTTTTTCTTCCTTTAGATGGGACAGGAGCAGACATTTGGAATCCTTAACGTCCTGGAATTTTCTAGGTATGTTTCTCTTTGCTGTTCTTGAAATGAACTTCTCATGTGTATGTAACTACTTGCATGATTACGTGGTGTGATTAAATATCTACGTCTTACATAGCCACACTAGTAGGTGTCTCCAGAACCCTCTTCTCGTTGGAATGTCTCTGCTTTCTCCAATGGAAACACTGCCCTTCACAGCCTTCCTTTTAAACTCTAGCTTCCCGGAGCCCGGCACTGTGGCAGCTGGAGCGACTGCAGACATGTCTGCATAGTTGGGGGTAGATTGATTAGGGTCTTGTTTTCACTGGCGTTTCCCGGTCTCATGAAGTCATGCCCCTTGCACTGTCAGACCACGCCTGCGCGCGAGCTGAGGCGTTGACGCGTGATCACTCACCCGCCTGCAACTTTATGTGCGCCCCCTGGCGCTCTTGTAGTGTCAGGAAGCAGTCTTCTCAGTGCCGCTGCTTTTCAAGACCCAGAAATATGTGTTGGAGCCTCGCCTTCAAAAATTAGGGAACAGCCATCATTTGTTACAAGAAAACCTATCTTAATGTTTTGTGTCTTCTGACGCCGAATGGGTAACACTAGAGCAAGGTTCTGTTGGTATCTTGCAAGTATCTTTAAAAACAAAATGGATTTGAAAATTTAACCTTTGTTAAATGTGTCACAGTTGCTTTGTCCTGTCTGCTTTGTGAGGGACTTGAGGGAGTTCGCTTTTTGTAAGGTTTTCCCATCCTAGTCTTTAGTTTTAAGACTGAAAACTTGAAATTTGGTGGGTCCACAGCCCTTGGGGTCTGAGAACCAGTGGAGAGGCGGGCATGGTTGATGACAGTACGGTTCCTGTGGGGAGGGGATGATGGGGTGTCTGTACATGGAGGTGGGACACAGACTTGACATCCCCTCAGACTTTCTTGTGGCACATCTTTTGCTGACAACCTGGCAACCTTGCACTGTTTTGTGGCCTGTTAAGGAGCTCTGGTGGCATAGTGCATATGGCATTTAGCTGTTAACATAAGGTCAGTGGTTCAAACCCACCAGGTGCTCCAG